GATTCATATGTCGACATATTTTTCGAACCGCAATGCAACTTAACTTAGAAGAGCTTCCAGCTAATTTATTTTATAGCACTACTAGAAATTGAATTCCTTAGAGTGAAAACTATTAAATACTCATGGTTCACTTGTATTAGATATTGCAGCTTCACTTGTTCTAAATTCGGGTAATATAGCATTTTCGATTCTGTACCGAAATATTTTTCATGGGTAGGGGTTTCTTCAAATGGAATCGAATAGTAATTTCAGACGTGCAATATTTTTTGGTGCTACTCTTTTCAAATTTACTACCCACTAAAAATGCTGGTGAAATTAAATTAGAGTGATGTAATAATTTCACAATCAGTGAAACGGCGTTGAATTGATGAAATTTTATGAAATTAATTTTACCAGCATCTCTACTCGCCAATAACTCTAATATATTATCCCGAAAAAGGTTTCTGATGCCACAATTCTAACTACAGTAAAACCTCTATACATTATTCTCTAAAACCAAGATAAAAATTAAAGTGTTAGGGTATGGAATGTTGAAATTTCAATCTACATTTTGCCTTCCGATTTCAAAATTTTTAAATACATGAATTTATTTTTGAAAAAAAAAAGAATTTTTTTCTATTTATTAATAAGTGTACATCTTAGTTGAATAAAATGTAGTGCTTTAAATTTTATGTCAAACTTGATATTTCATTTCGCAGTTATTGAATATTGATTATCTTTAATTGTTATCATCATCGTCATAAACATATAGCCCAAATTCAATCATAATTTTTTTTGCCGTGTCTAAAGACACACTAAAATCCTCCGCAATAAGTCTAATAGCAGTTTCTGGAACCAAAACTTGAGCCAGATATTTAGTTGTTGATTGTGGTGTGCAAAGATTGGTGGTTAATATTTTGGTTTGAACAAAAATTTCGGTTAAAGTTTTCAAGATAATGCCTAGACCTTTGGTTCCATAATACCCCGGCTAAAAATAAATTTTTAAATTTATAAAAAATCAGCTAATGCTAAATAATGATTTTTATTAAGTTCTTAAATTAATCTGCTAATATTTAGCTTACTTGGAATGATTCAAAGTAGTTGATTTGTAGTAATGAACTATCGGCTTTTGATACTCCTACTTCTTGAATTCGCTTAATTGCATCTACACGATATTCGCTGTACCGTTGACCTTTTATAATTTTAATAGTTCAGATTTCAAATTTCTAACCCGATTAGGTAGTTCTGTAAAATTTATATGTAATGGATATCCTTTTTCAATCCCGTAAGGAATAATTATTCCTTCTCCTCTATGAACTCGACAAAATTCGTATTGTTCAACTGCAGTCTGAGCAGGTTCTAGTAATAAATTAAAAAGAGTTGGATTTTTTAAATGGATTATAAAACCAAAAAGTAATTTTATATTATAATATTTGACTTTTGTTTGTCGCAATATCATCTAAATATTCAGAAACTTTCAAAGGTAACGGATTTGGTAAAGTTTCACCACAATATAACATTGTATATCTTTACTTTGGTCCTTTTCTAAAATAAATTAAATTAAAAAAAATTTTTTTTTAATACTTAGAGTTAACCTACGTACCTAAACTTAATTCATCCGAAGAAAAATTGGCTTCAATGAAATGTTCAACTAAAGAATTAGAATCTTGATGCGATAATATTGTCATAATATTAGAATTTTGAAGTTCATTTAGTAGTTCTGTATTATGTACTGTATAACTAGATTGACAATTATTTGAGGATCTTGTGATTTTGACGTATTAAATATTTTCTTTGTTAATCTTTTTCTTCTTATTACTGGCTAACTCTATCGCACTTGTAATTCTCTTATTAGATGGACGTCCTTTTCCTCGAATAATTAATGGGTTTTTTATAGTTGGTGTAGTCTTCAAATTGTTCGATTGTGACTTGTTAACTTTTTCAATCTCAGAAACGAATATTTCATTAAAAGAATTATATAAGGTTGTAGCTATTGTAGGATTTTGTGTTGTAAATCGTTGCACTTTTTGTAATAATCGGGTTAACATATACTGATAATTTGGATCGTTGCTTGACTCAATACTTGATAATATTGATTGTTGTGAAGTTGAGGTTGAAAATGCAATGTAATTATTAATGATTGTTTCCTCACTTGGATCTTTTTTCCATCGGCTATAAAATAAATTAGCTGGAAGCTCTTCTAAGTTAAGTTGCATTGCGGTTCGAAAAATATGTCGACATATGAATC